GCATGAATAAATGCAGAAATACACCAAGTACCAGGAGGTTCTTCCAAGAGCGTCTAGATGTATGCAGAACCCAGCCTTGCTCAAATGAAGGCATGTATTCTTCTCCCCAAGCAATGCACACAGGAAGAAGCATGGGAGAGGGGGGTGGCTGGAGCAAGAGCATACAAGGCAGGCAATGGGAGCAATGGTGGGAGACCCAAGAAGGACATGTGCAGGGAGCGGCTGACATTCCTTGGTCTTCATCACCTTTGCTTAATCCTATGAAAGGACTTTAGAACAGAGAACAGCTCTCCTTGCTCAAATGTCCTGCAGTTCCATTCCTCTTACTAAACAATAATTTTCACTGTCAGAGCTGCCTAGGTAAGTGTCATAAATATGGACTCCTGGACCTTCTTTGCGTCCCATCAGAGTCTATAGAGTAGGCTTGGGGATCTACAAGGTAATGTGTTTTGGGGTGTTGGGTTTTGTCCTCATCCAAATTTTTACTTTTTTGCAATATTGAAAAAAAAATCACTTGGTGGGGGGATGGGAAAAGTTGGGATGAGAAGGATTACACAATTTCTTCCCCCATCTCTTCTTCACAGCTCCTCCTCCCACCACTCACAAGGTGAGGGTTTTTTTTTTTTCCCTTAAAGATGTTTAAGCATTTTGTATGCATGTATGTCAATGTACCATGTGCACGCATTGCTCTCAGGGTCAGGACAGGTATTAGATCCCCTGAAACTGGAGTTAGAAACATTTGTGAGGTGTGGGTACTGGGAACTGAACCCAGATCTGTTGAAAGAACAGCAAGCTTTCATAACTATTAAGCCATCTCTCCACCTACATCAGCTTTTAGACTGAACATCTGTGAGAGAGTGGGTGAGGTCTACCATGTTTCTCATGTACCCTCCGAAGTTAGCCAAATTGAAGCTGAGACACTCACTAAGTAGTTCTAGGTGAGTAAATGAGTGGGTGAATTCTAAGGCAGAAAAATGCTTATAACTTAGGTGGAGGCATAAAGGAAGGGGGCATACAGCTTCCTGTTATATTTGGTCATGTGCTTTCCTTTTCTTAGACAAATGCCCCATCTGTAATAGGGCCAACAGGCTCCCCAGAAGTTCTTCCTGCCCTCACCATCTGCAGCACCAGAAACCTGTGTCCAACCCACCCCAGCATCTGCTTCCTAACTCCCATATAAGGGAGTAGACAATTGAGACAAAAATCAACTACAATCCAGAGATTTGTTGTCACTTTTAATAGGAGGGGCAGAGTCAAACAGTTTAGAGAAATGTATAAAAAGACCTTAACTTCTCGCTGGAACATGTTATGGTTTGTGCATAGCACATACATATTAAAAGTAGAAACATCACATTTCACAAGCACATGACTGAACAGCTTCTGGATTTCCTACCCACTGCCCTCAAGCTTGAGGACAGGTCTGCACCAGGATCCAGCCCAAGGTCCTTAACAATGAAGACAGAGAGGACCATGCCTGAGGCTGGGGTTTCAGTAGTTCATGAGGTATACAAACATGGCTCCATGGTGGCTTTCTGCACACTTCCCTAGAGTCAGGATCTGGTTGGGGCTAGCTACTGTCCTCCTGCTCCACGAAGGAGCTCCATCCACTCAGATGGAAGAACAGTCTGAAGTATTTCTGCTGGTTCTAGCTTTGTCCCAACATTTCTATCTTTGGTGCTTTTTCAGGGAAGTGACATGGATGGCTGGTTCATCATGGAGAGGGAAGGTAGGAGTAACTCACAAGATCCACTGTGAGGAGGAGGTGTCACCTGTTCTGTGACAAGTGGCGTGGGGTTTTACGTAAGTAAGGGAAGACATAAGGATAGAAAGTTGAAGGTGTTTTCTAGCTTAGCTCCAAACAAAATAAAGGGGGGGGCGAAGGAATCTCAGCAGAGATGCTATGCTGGAGACTCAGGGCCAGCAGTCACAGCACTAGCGACAAAGGCAATGGGGGCCACGGACTCTTCAATGTCCTTCCTTCTTCAGAATCTGGAGAAACTGTGGTCTTAGGGCAGGGAAGGGGGCTGGAGGGTCACATGAGATGAACACCAAACTTCACAGGCTAGGGCTGGGGCAGAATAAGATTTCAGGCCTGGGCTGTTTGATCTAGAGATAAACTTACATGTCTAAAAAGAAGGCGTGTGGTAATGATTCTGATGACAAGAAAAAAACCCCAAGCAAAACAAAAACAAAAAAACCCTGTTCTTCTTAAACCATAGAATGGTTGTGGCCCAGGACTTGGAGCAATGTGTAAGGATAAATGTCTGTTGGAGGGACTGTGGGGTGAGACAGAGCAGAAGACTGGGAAGGGTAATGGCAGGGTATTAATTATTAGATTGCTCACTGTCTTCCAAAGGAAGGTTAAAAAAAACTGTAATGGAAGTAGGAAGAAAAGAGGTGTCACGAGGCAGTGGGACAATGAAATGTTCTATCCTCACATCTATGCAGTGCCCTTGGAGCCGGGAGGGATGGGGTGTTGGATGTTAGGGAGTTAACGATGGCTGTGGCCATCCTGTGGGTACCAGGAACTGAACCCAGGTCCTCTGAAGGGGTATCAAGTGCTCAAAAGCACTGGCCATCCCTCCAGCTCTGCCCCCATGAGCTTCTATATTGCACATTGGTGAGAGGATTACAAACAACAGGTGACCAGTTGTGAAGTAACACTCCATCCCTGTGCATAGTAGCAGGAGAGAAGGGATGGGCCACACCCCTCACTGACTGTGTTTTTCTCTTGTCCCTTAATTTGCCTGTGGATTGGGTTTGACTTGGGTGAAGCCCAAGTCACTTCAGGTCAAAGGGAAACCTCTTAAGAGAATTTCTTTCCATGAGGAAAAGTTGAAATTACCAGCCATGCATTGAACAGATAAAGAAAAATACTGGGACCATCTAGAGACCCTAGCTTCTTATGGCTGATGTCAGTCATAGGAAATCCTCATCCAGTATTGCTCCTAGGCAGCTGAACACTGGACCTGCTCCATCTGGGGATTCTGTAGTTCCTCTTTTGTACCCTGACCATGAAAAGTGGAAGGAGACAGTTGGTGAAGCTCTTTGTCAGGGCTTGAGCACAAAGAAGTGGGGAAAATGTAGCATCCCAGTGGCTTGAAACCTCTCTAGAGTGCATTGGCTCAAGATATGTAGGTTTAAAGATCTAGAAAGAAAGACAGGAAGGGAGGGAAGGAAGGCCGTCGGTTGACCATCTTGTGGCTTAAAATATTTTTTCCTATCCCTATCTCAGACCACAGCCCCAGCCATCCTGTCCTTATAATTCCAACAGCAATGAATACACTTGAAATTCCAAATGACCCATTTCTGATAAACCCTGTAATGAGGTTGATGGCACTGGCAAAGATGTCTAAAAAGGAGGGTGGCTTTCTCCTTCCAAGATTACTTCCATTCCGACATCCCAGCAGTTAAGATGGACCAGTTTCTCTCCCCCTTACACCTGAGCCAAGACTTGGTTCCTTGTAGTTTCTGTCCAAAGCTTGGGGGGTGCGCATGTGGCTGAACTCCTACCATCTGTTGATTTACCTCACTTAGCTTCCTACCTTTCCTCCTCGCCTATTCCATGTCCACCCTGACACTTGCAGGGCAAAGGAGGAAGCTAGAATGGTGTCCCTCTTTTGCATTGCCAACCCCCACCTTCCGCTCAGAATCCCTGAGTCCAGATCTGTCTATAGAGCAGCGAAGCTACGAATAGAGAGGTATGTTGAAGACAGAGGCATTTGCAACAGATGAGGGATTGCCTTGCAGGTCAGGGTTCCCAAGAGTAGCAGAGGGTGTCCGGTCATTTTGTAACATATGCTGAAAATATTTGTGCACTGATACGGCTCTCACTGGTATCAGATTTAGGAACATTCCAACAGTTCAGGAATCTGCAGGCTGGAGGCAGACCACATTTATAGTCTCTCGGGAAACCTCGGTTTAAAATACTCTCAAAGGACAAGAGGCATGAAGGCATTGTAGAGCCAAGGAGCCACTTCAGCTTGGCTGCCTGAATCCTGGGATTATCACACCTCTCCTACTATAGAGAGGAAGAGAGGCACACATGGAAGGTCAGTGCCCGTTCTACCGCATCCAGGTGGCATTGTGTATGCAAGATTAGGACAAGTGAGGAGGGAGTGAGGGTATCGGGTGAGAACTTGGGCGTGTTTCCTGGACATAGTTGGAGAGGGATCACCATGGTGAGTCCAAAGCCTCTGGACTTCCTTCATGCCCTAATTTGCACACTGCCCTTCCTTGCCAGGAAGGTTGCCATTATTAGGATCCTTGTCATCTGAGGTTAAAATAAAACCTGGTTCAAAGTGAGGAAACGTTATGGGCAGGCAGCCTGGTGCTGGCCAGTTCTTAGATCCACACACAGCTCAAAGGCCTCCAGCAACACTGCTCTCAACAGAACATCCAGTCCCTCTGCCTCCACAGATCTCCCTGATGGCCGCAGACACTGTTCTATCACTTTCTTCCCAGGAGGGGACCCCCTTCCTTAACAATGCATCCTGGTATTTTCAGAAGTCCAGTGGCCACGGAGTCCAGGGTGCCAGGTTAATTGTTTCTAGCTTTCAATTAATTCTTACACCCCACTTCCTCCCTACACAGAAAAGATGGCCGCTCACGGTCACTCAGACAACTGATGCAGATGATGCAACTGGATGAACAAGACAGAGTGAGGCATACCTCAACCCTGCTGACTTGACAAGTGATGCTTTGGCAGGCAGAGTCTTGCGGTGACAATGTTGGAAGAAAGAACATTTTGAAATGCCTTTGCTCTGAGAATCTACATAAAGATGTATGGGTATGCATGGCCACAGGTACACTCCCGCCCTGGCCTTTTCTTACGCATGAGACCACATGTCACAAGCATCACATATACTGTGTCTCCTCAGGTGAGGTCAAAGTACAGGATCCACTGCCATTCTGAGATGTCAACTGCAACCCTTCAGTCACATGGGTTACATGCCATGCAGTACAGTGGCCAAGGAAACCAACTCTGGTCTCCTGAAGCACAAGATAAGCTCGTATCACAGGATACGAGCAGAGAGCAGAATTGTTCTCTTGCGGAAAATTCCAACAGAAAAGATGCAGCTGTCACTTTCTGAGCCTTCCTTCACTCATGGGTCCTTATATCCTGGGGAGGAAGTGAGTGACAGTCATGATTGGGGACACCTTGCTGCCTCGCTTTACCCGTCCATATTTGCTCAGTGCAATGTAGGTCCCTCTGTACAGGTCTGACTCATAGGCGTTGTAATTGTTTGGAAGGAGGGTTTCTCTGAACTTGCATTCCTCTTGGAAGCTGGGCTGTGAAGATGAACAGACAGCAGAGACTCAGTGGTAATTAGGAAGTACCAAATACAAGCGGAGCCACACAGAGGCAGCCTTCCCGCTGTGGCCCCCTCCCTCCCCTTAGTGAAAAAACTACCACAGTGTGTACACTGCAAGGAGGGGAGAAACATGGCAGGTCAGAGTGGGAGGCACTTCAGAGCCCTCACAGCTCCTCTCAATTGCCCTCCCGTACCAGGAGGAAGCCAAGGCCCGGACCGTACAGGGATGAGATTCAGATCCTGTGGGAAATCAGAGCAGGACTTCCAGACCTCCAGGTGGATGTGCTTTCTACCAAGTCCTCGGTTGAGAATGTGTTCTATCCAGAGGCGAGAGAGCTATGCCAAGTCTACAGTGAGAGGTTGTGTGGCAAAGCAGGATGGAGGCCCAGGCCACCACTCAATGACTTTTCTGCTTCCCAGTAGTGTAAGCTTGGGCAGTCTCCTCCACTCAGGGCCTCGGTTGTCTTTCAAGCAAATTGTGTGGTGCCAGGGAGATGGGGTAGTGGGCAGAGGAGCAGAGAAACAAGTGGGCTCTTGAGTCCTTTCCCGGATTGGCTCTTTCCACCCTTAGGTCTTCTATCCTAAGTCTGTAGTAGTCCCTTAATGACAAAAGGCTCATTTTTCAGTTTGACTTTGAGCCCAGAAGGTGAGTGGAGCTTCACAGACCACACCATTCTCTGGGGCCAAGTGGGGTCCGAGAGAATAGCCATTTTTATGGAGGAGAAGAACCTGGTTCCCAAGGGAATTAGACAGAGCCCTATAGAGGAAGTTGCTCTACCCTTCTGACTACCATGTGGGATTGGCATATGCGTGTGCATACGCACGTACAGGGAACCACAGTTCAATACCTCTATGACTTCTCCCTGGTGCCAAAGGTGTCCTTGAATTTCTGAAAGAAATCTTGCAGGATATTTTAGTCTCACTGTGACACTCCTGAGACTGACAATAGACTCCAGGACATAGAGAAAGACGCAGGAAGTAGTAGGGAGAGGCTTAGGAAGATTCTCAGCCCTTTGGGATGGAGGAAGAAAGACAGAGAGGTCACTGTCGCCTCTCCGCCACTTCTCTGATCAATCAGGGTTTCACCCTGATATCTGCCCCCCCGAGTATTTATTGACAAAAGAATAAATTAAACAAATGCTTTAGAAGTCTGTGCACCTAGCCTCAGCAGCAATGGGGACAATGGGTCTCCCTTCATGTTGCTATAATGGGGTGATGTGGAGAGCCCATCATCAGTACTCTGGAATCATTGGGGCAGATGCCTCTAACAGCATTTGGACAGCACCTGAGTCCTATGGACATTTAGACTTTACCTCCCCCCCCCCCCGAAGGATCCCAGGGATCCATGGTCAGATTGTAGGGAGAAAGGCATTTGGTATGGTAACTGGTAAGGGCCCAGAGACTAGGGTCCTTAGTGTTCTTGGGTGTATAGCATTATTACTTCTTTATAGGACAAGTCACAGTATCTACTAGATTATTTTTTTAATTGGGATAATAGATGATCAGCAATTCTTTTAGGAACAAATCTTGGCATTCAGTTCCCACATATTTATAAAAGTTGGCACAACATTTTTTTTTTTTTTAATAGCAAGAATCCCAAACAGCCAGTCTTTACTAAAAGGGCAGTGGTTGTCTCAGCTATGAAAAGTTAAACTATGAGGTTCTATCTGCCATGAAAAGAAAATGATTTGCATATTGGCACTGGGCTATCTCAGAAACATATTGCCAAATGAAGATGCATAGTTTGAATCCACGTCTTGCTGAGGATATGGGTTCGAGTCCCAGCATTCACATGGTAGCTCATAACTGTCTATAACTCCAGTTTCAGGGGATCTAACACCCTCTTCTGGCCTCTGACACATAGGTAGTGCACAGACATGTATGCAGGCAAAACACTCATACACATAAAATATAAAAATCTTTGAACTTCTGTGATGTGACCTTTAAAAGCTACCAGCGCACACACTCATGCATAAACAAGCTATTCAAGGAATGGTCCACAAGGGACTGGTCTCACACAGGTTGTGTCTCAGGAGGAACTCATAGGCATCAAGACACTGGTAGGAGTGAAATTTAAGTTGTGTGGGAAATCTTTATGCTTTTTCTTCCTTCTTAAATCATTTTTCATGTGCTATCTACCCACTTAAGTAATTTATTTAAAATGGCAATGAGTTCAAGGTGTAAAATGGGCCAGGGAGTGTGTGTGGGGGGGAGTTTTTATCAAAAGCAGCGGTCTCTCGTGGGGATGCAGCCCCCCTCCACCCACCTTCTTTCCCTCTGCTCTAACTTTGTAGTCTCTGGAGAGGAACTCACCCAGCCAGTTTCCAGGGGAATTTATTTCTGATCTGGTAGTGGTTAAGGGAGAGGTTTTTGTGTGTTGTTTGCAAACTGGTGAGGGGAAGTCAGACAGAGGGAGGGAGAGGAATGGAGCCATTGGGTTGAAAACTATGGGCGTTGTCCACATCCCATTGCCTAGAATGAGTCCGGCTAAGAACCACCATTTTTTAAAAAAACATCTGCATCACTGTGGGTGCATATACAGATGACCATGTGTATCTGTGAGTTCAGTACCCCTAGAGTCAACTCACCATGGACCAAAAATATTCTGGAAAAGATTGCATCTGTATTGGACATGCATAGATTTTTATTCCCTAATAAGTTGTTCCTAAAAAATACAGTACAATATATATCTGTGTAGTCTTTGTGAAGCATTTAAGTATTAAAAGTAACAAATGATGAGTCAAAATGTCTAGAAGGATGCACACAGGTCCTATGAAGATATTACAGAATTTCTACGAGATACTTCATCGCCTAGAGATTTGGGGGTCCATGGGACTCCTGGAACCAACTCTCTGAGGATAACAAGAGAGGCTACACTTTGATTTCTGCTTAGTAGAAATTTTTTTTGACAGGAATGGAACCAAAGGCTTTGCTCTAGACCAGCTCCCAGCCATATCCCAGTCCTGAGCATCAGACAGATTTTGATCATTCAAGTCTGTCCCTTTCCCACTATTTGTTTGTTTTGTTTAAGTGACTGCTTTTGATTCCATTCTGTCCTCTCTAACTTATCTATCCTTGCTCTCCCCAGAACCCTTTACAAACCTGAAATGGGAAAAGAAGAGTTCTTTTTCTTTAGGAGACTTCTGCCTGCCCCTGCTCCTATCAGTTCTCCATCCTGCAGGACATCCAGGTGGTTTGGGGGGTTGGGCTTGTGACATGACATCACCACAATTCAGTTCCGGGAACCTACTGATAGCTCTGTTTCCCACGGGATGGTGGTGGTGCCTCATGCCCAGCCCCTGAGTTTTCTCCATCACACCTCTGAGCTTTGTGTTCCCGTGGCTCATGAGCACTGGTACTGTGCCTTGGTGAGAAAGACCTTCAGCCAAGCAAACACCATGTTAATGAAAGCAGCTACCATATATTATGGCTCGAACACATGAAAACAATTCCACCAGATCACATTTCCTGGGCCTGTTGCTCTCAAGCACTAGTGTAACAATGTCATAAATTCCATGTAGGGCCAAGCACAGCCAAATCTATTTAAAAAGACATAGTCTTTAACTCTCCCAATGTAAAATCATTGTGCAAAGTAACGTATCCCTGAGTGTTCTGGCTGAAATACCTCTGGTAAAAATGTTCCCAAAAGTTGTGTGTATGTGTGTGGGGGGAGGGTGTCATGCTGCCACATCCATCCTCTTGTCTTTATGCAGAGCTAAAGCCCTATTACTCCCTGTCACATGAGAGGGGAGGTTTGCATGTCACTGGGATCCTATTGATTAGAGGTATGTGAACATGGTATGAGTTCTTCAAAGTGCAACAAGCATTTTTCTCAATGGATGGCCACAGAACCCCTTCAGGAGGGGATCCTTGATAACTTTCTGGACTTCAAGGGGAGTGAGAATGTTGGGGTTCACTTATATCCTGCTCCAGGCTACATCCAAGATGGCAAAAGTCCAGGCTATGAGAAGCTCAGCAACTTTGCCTGAAGTAAGTCCAGCAGCTAGAGAGTAGGACGGGGCAGTAATTAGAAGGCTAGTCCTGGGCTGTCCTACCAAATGAGCTTCCCCTGCCAGCTGTCTATGCGTTATCTGCAGGGCCAGCTGTCTATGCGTTATCTGCAGGGCCTAGAGATGGTTCTGCACACAGGTGCAACTGGACACAGGGACAGAGCCAGAGATTGTGGACACCTCGTGTCTCCACCTTCAAAGAGAGGCTAGAGACCAAATGCTTCTCCAGGACAACACTCATAACCACTCTGCAGGACCCCAAATATGTGCTCAGTACAGGGGCGGCTTATGTCATCTGTAGAAAGAGACCTTAGATTCCATAACCCTTTGTCTGAAAGAAGGAAACCCACTCCAAGGTAGCTTTTCTTTGCCTTGGCTCACATGGTGGCTGCCTTTTCCTCCTCATCAGTCCCCTTCCCCCCACCATGAGAAATGCCATTTAGAGGTTACAGCAGCTGATCTACTAGGGGAGGAGGCAGCTCAGGGGGGGCTTAAAGGGAAATAGTGTGAATGAAATCACCACCCAGCAGGAGTCTTCCTGGCTCCTGGGATCAGTTGGCAATTGTTTTTTTAGACTGATAACTGCTGCTGAGGGATGGGGGGCAGGGAGGGGTGTTGAATAGCATCTGGTCCCCAGTCACACACAAAGCATCAGGTGCCCTAGCTGGGACACTGCTGTCCAGTGAGCTCCGATCTCTAGCCCTGGGGTCTAGGGAGACTATCCCACCAAGAGCTCATGCTTCCAGACAACTGCTGTTTAGTGAGCACTCCACCAAACACCTTTAGAACCTGGCGAGTCTGGGTGTCTCACACTTCAGAGAAATTTGCTACTGTGAAAGGGTCTATACTTGGGGAGAATTTTCTCTGGTAGCCAGAATTTATGTTCCCAGTGCTCAGCTCCTCTTAGAACCAGAGATTGTGAGTGGGAAGTAGATGCATTTACCCTATGTCTGCAACCCCCTCCCTTGCCATACTGAATTATTTTCTAATTGAGAAAATAATCTGTTAATTATGGTGGCAGATGTGTTTCTATAACTTAGGCTTCTGGTAGATTTGCCTGCTGAAATGCCCAAGTAGAGTTGTAGACCCAGCTGTCCCAGATCTCCTAGCTGATGGGATTCTGGGGGCTGGTGAGGAGGAGATTTTAGGAGGACTCACTCCACAAGAAGGATGCCTGTTCTTCCAAAGCCTTGGGTGGTCACAGACTGCTTTTTGCCTGCTGCTTCCCCAGAGAGTGGTACATCGGTGTCTGAGAATTCCATCTGGAGAATTCTACCTAGACCCTCCTGCTGCCCTCAGGCCTGGCTTCACACTAGGTAGACCTGCCATACTTCCTTGTCTGGCAGCACCCACAGCTACCTGCCCCTCCAAAAAAAAAAAAAACACCTCACAACCTAAAACAAAACAAAAACCCAAACCCTGAGCCAGACAGATCGGCAGCCTCCGTCCTGGTGCTACTGAGTCTCTGAAGCAAGTGCTGGAAACCCATGCATCTAACAGGTTCCCAACATGATGAGTGTACATGAATGTCCACAGCACTGTGTTGGGGAGGCACTGATTTTAGCCCACACCTTCAACCAACTTTGAGACACTGGCTCAAAAAGTTCGGAAGCAGAGATGCTCTGAGCAGCTCGCTCGAGTATTTTCCAGACTTTCTTTGCTGGAAGATTTCCCCAGGAACCCAGCACTTGTCCCAGAGCTGCTGTTCCCTTTCTAACCCTCATTCTGTCCACCAAGGGATAGGAGGAACAGACTCTACACTCTCCCTAGGAACTCTTGTAGTGGATCTAACATGTCCTTCCTCTTTAGCCACTGTCCTCTCCTCCTCCCCTTCCTTCCTCCTCATCTTTTCTTTTCCTTTTCCTTTTCCTTTTTTTTTAAGATTAAACCCAGGACCTAGTACATGCTAGGTAAGCACTCCACCACTTAGCTAGACTCAGCTTCAATAGGCCAAGTTGCAGGCACAGAGCCCCAGAAGCGAGTGTTTCAGAGAAAGTATGGGTTTCGGGAAACATATTTAATGTTTGCCCTTTCACCAGAGGGCCAGCATTTTCCCTCCCACAGTGATCCATACTGCAGAGGAAGGGCTGAGGTTCCAAAACCTGCTGGGAAGGCTTGGCAGGGCGATATTTCTATAGACCATGGGATCAGAGACCAGAGGATATAAAACTCAGGCTAAAGTCCTCAAGACACTGATGAAGACTAGAGATAGCCTCCTTCCACAGACCTCTTGATTTACTCTATGAAGTGTCTCCTGGAGGGGTGTGTCATGTGGGCAGCAGGCTGACCCACAGGCCTGCCTTTCTGGGTCTTTCCAGTTTAGCAACTCAGGCCTGACTGTGAGCCCGGATGACAGCTTTGTGTCAGAATGCACATTCTTCCCTACCCAAGAGCGCTCTGAACTATGGCTTCTTTAAGGGCAAAGGTCCTGGCAGGTGGGACTGGGAGAACCACAGGCCGGTGTAGATGCTTCTCTGGGAAATAGAGGAAGCATGAGCTTCAAGGTACCGTGTCAGCAAGGGCTCCTATCACAGCCCTTCTTTCTTCCTTCTCTCAGTGTTGTGTGTGTGTGTGTGTGTGTGCTGTTTCAATGGTGTGAGCTTCAGGCTTTCTGCATCCTGGAGTTTCCCCTTTCCCAAGCAACTCACCGTTGTGTATAGTCTTCCTTTACTGTTCATGGCAATGAAGAGGGTGCTTTTCACACCGAAGAGGCTCACCACACCCCGCTCTACTGTGGAAATTTCCAGCAGGCCTGACAAAGAAATGCGGAACACACACTCATGTTCATGTAAGCGTAAGAGAGGAGACTCAGGTCCTTCAGGGGCATCCGTTTGTCCCCTTCTTCTAAATCTCAGCCTCTCCATCACTTCTATCCTTGATCTCTCTAACCTTATAACATCCCTTCACTACACTGGCCATGTCCTGTCACATCCTGTAGCACACTCAGTTCTGTCACAATCCTGTAGCACTCAGTTCTGCATGGAAAAGTTTTACATTGGAATTGGGGATTGCAAGGAACATTCAAACATCTGTGGGGGTGGAGATAAAGCTCAGTAGTAGAGTACTTGCATGGTATACCTGGGTCCCTGGGTTCAATCCTCAGCAACCCCCCACCCCCCATGTGCACGCATACACACTCACACTCACATACACACTCAGTCAATTTTGATTATCACTGTTTAATGTTTGCTTCACATGCTTCCACTCAGCTCACAAACAATGCAGCCACACAGAGCCAGATGGCTTGCCTAGGACCCTACTATCCAGACCTTGTCTTGGCTGGAAGACTGTCCATGCAGACATCCGACACCAGAGGAAGCCCAGAGAGAAGGATGTGTGTCTGAGAGGCACTTTTCAGACTCTCCAAGAGGAACAAAAATGCATGGGTCTAACTAAGATGGGATAGCATAACCTATCTTCCCTATCAGTGCAGTTATGGCTTTTCAGGCTAACTCCAGGGCCAGAGGTGAGACCCTAGTACTGGACTAATTAGTACCATCAGGATGCAGTTACATAGGATGATGGCTAAGAATACCAAGATGCCTACGTCCTGGCCCCCTGGGCCTGCCTGCACCCCTATCAGGGCAGGGTGGGATCAAGCCATCTGAACACTGTCCAGCATGTTCCCTTTAGAATGCAGCCCCACCCACCAGCGCAAGGCTCCTTCATCTTTCGATTCTGCTTGTGCCCAAGCCAGCAAGCCCCCCAGCTGTCTGCTAGTGACACTCACTGTAGGGGTTCTCCTCGTGTGTTCCACTGATCCGGCCATCGGGAGGTACCTGGAGGTGGAAACCAATGCCCACGTTGCAGTAGAGTCTCCGCTGCCGCTTGATGCCCACCAAATAGCCACTTTCCCAATTCACACCCGAAATCTCTCCAGCTAGCCCAGCTCGAGACCTGGACAGGAGGGTGCCCCAGCCTCTGGAGTCCAGTAGCGTGCCGTTAGCACGAGTACCCGCCGGTGAGGGCACTACCATGCCCGCTAGGACGCCTAAGAAGACGAGAGCCTGCAGCGTGCCCTGAACACGTCCTACTCCCCGGAACATAGTGATGAACAGCGTCTGTCCCAGGGCCATCCACCTTGCCTCTCAGGCACGTGGTCAGAATTAATGGCCCTAAAAATACCGCCCTTCTTGTTTTTCTCCCCGCGGCATGGCGGCAGGGGCTTATTTTTGGAAGGCAGATGAAGGCTGCTGACATGAAACCAAAGCCTGATACAGGCACTCGGGTAGAGAGCAGTGGGACCCAGACTGAGCTGCGGCTGGTAGGGACCATGGCTTGGGGACACTCTCTATCCAGTTTGCAGGGCTCCGTCCCGAGGTGATCCTATTTGATTTGACCTATCATTATAGTTCAGCAACCCGGCCCTCCCCTTCATCACCACCCTGACGTCAGCCGGCCCAGCTCACTTACCCAGGGCTGTAACATTAACCTGCTCCTGGGCCTGGCTGGCTCCCCAGACCCCCATCACCCTCCCCACTCCCCAGGGATTCTGAGAGCCACTGTCATTCCAACTATGAGGCAGGAATGAAGTTAGCAGAGAGCATCTCTGCGGGAGGGTGGAGCTGGCTAGGGGCCCAGGGAAGAGGGAGGCAGAGGCCACCCAGGACCCAAATTGGGCAGCAGTCCTTGGCTCCATTATGCTGGCTTCCTTATTTAGAGGGCAAAGGGTAAAGAGAGATGGGAAGGCATGGTGGCAGGTGATGATGCTGGCCTACAAGTGACTCTCAGGACCTATTCATGGAAAGAGCTCATGGCTGAGGAGGGGCCGTCTAACAGGACAATGCATATTCTGTACTGGGCATAAAGGAAAGGGGTTGTCCAGCAAAATGAGGGCTGTGGAGGCAGGGAGAAATGGGATCACCTTTTCCTGCTCACGGTTCTGGCCATGGTTTTCACCCAGAGGGAAAAGTGGTGTCATGCTCTTCTCTTGCTTCAGTTTACCTTTGGCCTCTAATTGTTACCATTCCCCCTTGACTATTGCACAAGCTGAGTCTCAGATGAGGCTTATCATGGGCAGTAAGTAGCAGGATCAGGGCTTATAGACTGCACAGGTCCAAAGCCTTCTCACGACATTGCTTATACATAGAAGCGAGATTTTCAGAGGTTACCATAGATTTTCCTTATTATGTACCAAGTAGACATTGAATGATTATTTCAGCAGGACAAAATGTTTTGGTGTGTGTGTGTGTGTGTGTGTGTGTGTGTGTCTGTGTTTAGACAAAGTCTCATCCATCCCAAGATGGCCTCAGACTCATTGTGTGGTCAAGGATGACCTTGAACTTCTGAATATTCAGAACTTGTATTACAGGAATGTGCTAACAAGCCTGGCTTTATGTGATACGGGGGATTAAACTCAAGACTTCCTGGATATAAACGATCAGTCTATCAACTGAGCTATAGCCCTAGGTACAAAATGACTTTCTTGTTACACACACACACACACACTTTACCAAATGTCTGTATTTTCAGTCAACTTAAAATAATTTAAAAATTTTAAGTGTGTATGCCTATGTCTGTGAGTATGTGCATGTGTGTGTGTGTGTGGGGGGTGCCATTGGAGTTCAGAAGTGTGTTGGATCCCCTAGAGCTGAAGTTACCTGTGATTATGAGCTACCCAACACAAGTTTTGGGAACCAAATTTGAATTCTCTGAAAGGGCAGTAAGTGCTTCTAATGGCTGAGCCATCTCTCTAGCCCTGGCAGTTAACTTTTGCTAGGCTAATATTACAGTTATAAACTACTAAAAACATTTCTATAGTTACCCTTACACCCAATTTCTCTTCTCATATGTCATTTAAGCAGAACGTGTCTATTACCCGAGGTTAAAAATTATTTTAAAAGGGTATAGAAAGGATCCTGGGCTGGTGAGATAGCTTGGTAAGAAACAGTGCTCTTGACCAAATGTCATGACCTGGGTCTGATCCCTGGGTCCCAGATGGTAGAAGGAGAGGATCCTTGCAAATTGTTCTCTTACCTATACATGTGCACCATGCCACATGTGAGAATGCACGCTGCAAGCATGCACACACACACACACACACACACACACACACACACACTATACTATACTAAATAAATGCAGTGAAAAGGGTTACTAAAAATGGTTATAGACGAAGGGATTCACATCTAGGAGAGTGAAATAAGTTAACAAAGGCCACCCGAGAAGACAACTTGAGTTTGACAACTGGATTCTTTGTCCAGCAATCCAGCTCCTAATCTGTTGGTGGAACAGCAGTGTGGGAACTGTAAGAGGTGTGTGTATCCTGGGGAGGAAATATGGTGACAATAGTACTAAGGATTATTTTGAACACAGCATGAGCCCAGATACTGCTCTGTGCTGGTAAGACCCAGATGCCACCTCATGTGCATGCCACACTTTCACTGAAGGCTGCTGGACAAATTTCTCTGCAAGTTCCATGCCTAGCCAGTCTAGCCTAGCAACACCTGCCCTGTGGTCCTAAGCCTCCTGCTCAGGTCTGGGGCTGAGCCACCAGTCCATGACTTCTGCATATTTTCTGTTCCTCTCTTGTTCAGTTGACTGATGCTTTGGTTATCATTTCTGTCAGTTCAGTCCCAGACATGGGTTCTTCAATCCCTTGAAGCTGTGTGGCCATAGATAAAGTCAGCCACATAGGCCTTTACAGAAAAAAATACATACATTAAAGTAGGGCTTTTGGAAGCATCCCACTGAATAGGAGTAACCAAGAGTAATCCAGAGATGGAAGAACTTTACTTTGGATGCCCAGCTTGATTTCATAGATTAAGTTTTATGTGCACAAGAGCAGAGGTATCCTCTGACCAATGCTCAGCTTGGAATCTTGTTAACCACATTCCTACCACCCCAGGAACTAGCATCCCAGTCTTTTGCTAAATGGTTCAGAAAATGCTATGGTTTGCATGTAGAATGGCCTCCAAAGGCCCCTATGTTGCAGGCTTGGCCCCCAGCCTGTGGTACTGTTGCAAGATGGAGGATTCTATAAGAGATGAAGCCCAAGAGGAGAAAGTTATGTCATTGGAGGAAGTTAGGCCACTGGAGGTACGTTCTTGAAGCCAGTCTTGGGATGATAGTCTCTTCCCACCTCCCATCCCCTACCTGCATCCTGGATGCCATGAAGTGAACAGACCTTCTTCACTGTATGAAGTACCACAGGCTGGAGCCACGGAGACCATGAGCCAAAGCAAAGCCTTCCTCCTTTAAGCTGATCAGCACAGGCATTTTGTTACAGTAAAAGGAAGCTGAGTAATGCAGAAATGTTGGCTTGGAAATAATTTCTTGTAATTAGTGAGGTGCTCCTTAGTGAAGACAGGTCAGAACCCCTGGAGTATTCCTTGGAACACATCCACTTTCAAAATGTAACTAAAGTATAGCAAGGGCCACTGGCTGTCCCCAAATGACATGGGATCCTTCCCCTCCTTGGGTCCACCTCATTTCCCATTCCTTTCTGTGCAAGTGTCACAGATATAATGGCATTTTATAAAGCAATGGGTTTGGGGAGCTCTGTGTGGCCTTGGGTAAGTTTTGGACCTTTTGGAGCCTCCTTCTTCTCATCCGAAGGGCAAGCTAGTTAGCTTATGTGGTTTTTATAATGACTAGGCATGGCAAACGCAAAGGGATGTTGCTGAACCACGTAGCCCTTCATGGACCATTGTCTGAAACCCATCAGAAATCTCTCACCCAATTAAGGAAGGACAAACTAGAAGTGAGAAAGGCCATCTCTCATCTCGGGGGGTGGGGGTGACACACGGGCATCCAGGGCTTAACTGCTGCCCCCCACGGCACATGTAGTGATGGGTGTTGACATATGCAGGGGCGAGCAGGCAGTTCAGATTCCTAAAATATTCTGAAAACCAGTAATAGCTTTGGTGCTGTCCCCTGTTAAATATAAAACTTAAGTAATTCATTCTATTAAAAAGCTCCAGTCTTATTTTTATCGGGTGATGTGATGAGGCCCCACTCTAAAGGCACCTCCTGTGCCTGTCTCTATAGCAACCCCACTCTGCTCAGATAGCCACATCATTTTCCTTAAGGCTAATTAACCTGACAACTGCTGGGGCGTCTTGGTTTACCAGATTTGCACTTGACCCTTTACTCAGGGCTTAGGGACCCTTTGGATACGAAGTGATAAAGAAAAGAGTAACAGGTGGAGGAGGCCTTGCTGGACCCTTCTTTCACATAGTTCTCTCAGTAGCCTTTGGGGGCTGTCAATCACTCTTGCTTGATGAGCCAAGATTTAGTGGAAGCAAGTGGGGAAATGCCTATGTGTATCTTCTTCCACGAGCTGGGGCAGCAGGAGCTATGGATGGCTTAGATGAGGGGCTGAGCTACACCAATCTGTCATATCAGCTGCTCAGGGGAGCTACCTCTGCACAGCATGCTGGCTGCCCCCGAGGCTCTGGTTTATTACATAATATGGTTCAACAGCCCCACACACCAGGAGTGGCCAACATGAGAGAGCATAAGCTGGCCCTAAGAGCCATGCATGTTGACTGCCTCTGTTTACTTGGCTTATACTACTTTTCACAGTTGTCGCTGAAAAAGTAGCATTACCCTTTTCAAATGATGGCTTGGAAAATTCAGAAAACTGGCAGGTAGAAAGCAAAGCACTGGTTTGTGCTTACTACAGGAGGTTTGTGCTTACTGCATCCATACACTCCGTCTTGGCCTCTGCACCCACTCTGTTTTGATTCAGAGCCTCCAGGCCTCCCCTTTGCTCTTCCCCTGCTGCTCAGAAAGGCACACAACACCTGCTGCAGGTTGCTCATAGACTTCCTAGTACAGGGTGGGCATGTGTAGGGAGGTGAGGGCTGAGGGAGGACCCTGTTTTACACCTGAATAAAGATGGGCACTTAGGGCTCATGAAACTTGTGACAAGAGATGTGTCTGTTGCCCTGTGACTGTTCTATGGAGAACCCGTGCTTTTCAGTTTCCTAGCAGAGCTCCACCAGCCCCAGGCCTTCCCCGTGTAAGTGGAAGCCAGTTCACAGTCTTTACCAGCCCCCCCCCATTGCTGTTACCAATTCATGTGAAACCCCACCCATGGCAGATCACTCCCAAGAGACTTCTGGAGATGCCAAGCATGCCCACACATGTGACCTGAGCACATCACTGCTCTTGCTCAGGGCCATCATGGGACATCCATTTGGACCACACATCCAGGATCTGACTCCAGACCTACTCTTAAAGCCATCACGACACTGTGTATGCCTCGTGTCTCCTTTCTAGGCAAGTGAGAACAAGTAGGTTTTGAATTTGATTTTCTGACTTCCTGTCCAGCAGAGGGCTAAGTCTCTTGCCCGGTGGAACTCACTGGGATGGGCTCCCTTTCTGTTGAAGATGTCTTCTTTCTCAATAGGTCCCTAAATCCCTAGACACAGGGTCTCTGCTGGGAATAGTCTATCACTGTCTTGACATGTCA